TTGTACTCCAACATGCTAAGTTGCTATTGGAAACTCTATTCTACGACAGCAGTCTCAATCACTATTGAAAGCTTTAATACTGAGGCAAACCATGATCACTTGAGGATCTATGATGGTCCTTCTGCTTCAGCTAAAAAAATCGGTGAATTTCACGGTTTGAATCAGATGGGGACAGTTACAAGTTCTTCTAGATACCTTTATGTCACATTCACAACTGATGGATCAGTACTGAAAACTGGATTCTCTTTCATTTATAAAGGTAATTCTGAAAGTAATTTAAAAGGGGATGTATTTTGTGAATGAAATAAATGGATGAAAATCTGTTTAGTCCTGGCTTTCTTCCGACCCTCTCCGGACTCGAAGGGAAAGGAAACTTGGTGGCTGTTTATTCCCAGCGGTCTCCTGCAGCGGTTGTAAATGAGTCAAGGACGAATCTTATTTTCAGTAATATTCATGCAGTAACTCTTACGAAACTGGTCCCGACGGCTGAAAACTGATCCCTGTCTGGCCAGGACGATAAGACTTGACTTGATTACAAGGACACAAGTGAAGTAAACAAATTGATAAAAATAAACCATTTCTTTTTGAAGGTACCTAGCTGCACAGCCTGCTATTGCTGATGAAGAGGATCCAAGTTTGGAGCACCAGCTCTGGTAGTGTATCGTCGCTTTTATGAGGTCTTATAACACATGCATGCATAATTAGTTTACTGATATACATGCCCTTATTTCAAAATGCCGTCATTCTAGAGAAATAGAAAATATCAAAACATTATATYAAAATAACAAAGGATTAAATAACACTAAAAGGCTACACGTTTTTCATTGTCTTTTAGTATACAGTGCTTTGCAAACATGTTGGAAATTTTAACATTGTGGGGCCACAGCAACATTGTGGGTAATTTTCACTATACTGCCTAAAACTGGCCTCTTTTAAGTAAAAAATCGCTTTTTATCTCTGATTTGTTATTTAGATGCCGATTGGGTTTACTGGCAAAAAAGTTATCCGTTATCGAAATATTAGCATGCTACACACATTACGGTATATTCATATATAAACATAATCGACTTTTTTTATATTTCACATCCGTTTATACAAAGAGAACAAATTGTCATTTTATCACAACGCTCTATTGCTTTTAGTTTTCACTTAATTGAAAGTGTTCTATTTCTCTAGGGTAAAGTTTTTGCAATTAGGTGTACTTCTGTCAAAATACAAATTTTATGGCCGTCTTCTCACTGGGCTCCTGTGTAAAAGGATTCGTTTTGATCCCGAAATGACACCTTATCTCTTTCATTATAATGATTCCTTGCAGAGTCGTTATGACTCTTGTATCTCTTCAAAGAATTAAATCAACTCCTTGTAATGGATGTTGCTGACTCTTTTTAAGAGTTAAATTGACT